CCTGTTTTTCTTCAGGTTAGAAAGTTCATCCACAACTATTTTCTGCTCTTTAATCTTGCTGCCAAGTTCCTCCTTGTGCAGGCTCCGGTAGCTGGAGGACACCAGTCCAACACTGTCCTCCCGGTGCGTCCCCGCGCTGGGCATCTCCATGGACCGCAGGCTGACACGAACTCACAGTACGGCTGCAATCTTTTTTTAAATTGTTTTTTTTGTGCGTACCGATGCTCTGCAGGATTCGAACAGCGCACCTCTGGGATTGCAGTGCAGCTTCTTGCCACTAGGCCGTCAGAGCTCCCCAAAGCTGTAATCTTTATGGAAGCTGACTACCACTTCTTTCTCCCGCAGAGCTATTGGTGGGATCGAACCCCCGACCTCTGGGTGACTAGCTAAAACTGTAATGCCCCATGAACTACTTGGGGGGGAGGACAATATTTGCTCTGGACATATTCCCAGGGCCATAACGTCGCAGACGCAAGGCAATCACTCAGGCTATAAAGTCCCCCCTTTCACCCCTAAAACGCGGGGTCCCGGCCTTCCGCTCCCCGAGCTTTTCATTCCACTTACCGGTACCTCTCGCTGTGCGGCCCCTAGGAAAGACGCTTCTCCAGGGCGACGGGCGCTCACTGATGATACAAGCACCCGCGCCGGCAGTGAGAGGAGAGCTGCGATCTGATTGGTCACGTCCTTGTGACGTGTCTCCGCCTTCGGCCGCGATTAGAACAACAACTTTATTAGGCACCGCCCCAGGGCTCGGAGAAGGGTAGCTCTGGGGAGTGGCTAGGGCTTAGCGGACTGAAGGCGGCAGGGGCCAGGGTCAGGCAATGGGGTGTTGAGGCCGCGCGGTAGCGGATCGAGTCGGGAACAAAAGGAAACTACAATTCCGACCGCTGGTGGCGGCATAAGAAGCGGAAGCCAGGCTTTTAAGCAGGCTTTCGGGATGAAGCGGGAGTAGTCGTGGTGGTGGTGGTGGGGGGGGATAAATAGGAAATAGGAAACTGCAACTTCCAGGAGAGATCGGGCTCTAATATGAGATGGGACAGTTCGTCTTTCGAACGCCTTGATCTAGCGGTTTGAGTAGGGTTGGAATTTCCCCAAGTCTGGGACGAACTGAGTGGGAGCGACATGGAACTGGAACAGAGAGAAGGGTGAGTGACTGAGCCTTCAGAAAAACTACAAAACCCACAAGGCATTGCGGCTACAGAGTGGCAGTTTTCTTCTCTTTCCCCTTTAAGGGCTGACGGGAATTGTAGTCCGTGCAATTTCTTGACTTTAGCGCTCCTCTTTAAGAGGTTTTTAAGAGACTAATGTCTTTTTCTCGCCCTAGAGGGATTCTTTGCAATCACTTGTTAAGCATCAGAGAGTTGGACAATGACTAAGGAGGGTAGAAGGAGAAGTGATGTCTTTGAGCTGTGGTGCTGGAGAAGAGTATTGGATGTACCATGGACTGCTAGGAAAACAAACAGAATTCATCCTGGAAAGGGTTAAACCGGGTGGCTCCTTGGAGGCAAGGATTCTGAGGCTTCATCTGACATACTTTGGACATATTGTAAGGAGAGACCTATCCTTGGAGAGGGACATCATGCTTGGGAGGGTGGAGGGACAGCGCAGGAGGGGAAGGCCCTCTATGAGGTGGATTGATTCAGTGACTGGGGTAATCGAGATGGGAGTGTCAGAGACAGTGCGATTGGCACAGGACAGAGCATAGGTTAGGGCTGTTGTACATAGGGTCGGTATGAGTCGCAGGCAACTCGATGGCACATAACAACAACAGTCTGTCTTAATCAAGATTCATTAATAGTAATGGGTGACTGGAATGCAAAAGCTGAGAACGGGGACAAAGGATTGGTAGTCGGGAAACGTCGTCTTGGTGACAGAAATGAGACTGGAAACAGGATGATAGAATTCTTTACAATCAATGATTTTTCCATTGGAAATGCCTTTTTTAAGAAACACAAACAAAGACTATACACACGGAGCTCACCTGATGGCCTACACAGGAATCAGATTGATTACATTTGTGGAGAAAAAAAAATCATTGGATAAGTTCAATATCGATGGTGATTATCGAATAGACTATCAACTATTCATATGGAAGTTCGAACTGAAGCTAAATAAAATAAAATAAAATCCTCAAGCACCAAAGGTTGACCTTGAGTCTATCCCACCTGAATTTAAAGACTATCTCAGGAACAGGTAGAGGCTTGAACACTAATGAGCAAAGACCAGATTAGCTGTGGGGGGATATTAAGAATATCATTCATGAAGAGTGCAAGAGGTCATTAAAAAGACAGAGGAAGAAAAGACCAAGATGAATGTCAGTAGAGACTCTGAATAGTACATTAGAACACCAAGAGGCCAAAGCCAAGGGAAGAAATCAATATGTTAAGAAGTTGAACAGAAGATGTCAAAGAGCAGCTCGGGAAGACAAAGCAAAGTATTATTATGAAATCTGCAAAGAGCTGGAGTTGGAAAATCAAAAGGGATGAGTTTGCTCAGCATTTCAGCTGAAGGAGCTAAAGAACAAATAACAAGCCTTGAGTAGAAATACTTAAGGATGCTTTGGGTGGAATATTGAATGATCCAGGAAACCTCAAAAGAAGATGGAAGGAGACAGGAAGTCACTATACCAATAAGAATTGGCTGACGCAGAATAATTTCATGAAACAAACTATGATCAAGAGTCATTGACGATAAATGAGGAGGTCCAAGCTGCCCTGAAGGAATTGGGGTAAAAACAACAACCCCAGAAATAGACAGCATACCATTTGATGTCTTTTCAACACAGATGCTGCCCTGGACACAGTAACCACGTTGTGCCAAGAAATCTGGAGGACATCTGTCTGGCCAGCTGCAATCAAATGCTTGACCACTGAGCTGTACCCTCTACCTGGCCAAGTGATTGAAAGAGACTCTTATTTATTCTCATCCCCAAAACAATGTGATCCAACAGAATATGGGAATTACTGAACAATATTAGTATCACACACAAGCAAGATATCTAAAACTTACTAAACCAGTACATCAACAGAAAGCTACCAAATGTGCAAGCTGGGTTTAGAAGACGCCATGGCACTAAGGACACTATAGCCAATGTTAGATGGATCTTGGCTCAAGGCAGAAAATACCAGAGGAATATCTATCTGTGTTTCATTGACTGTGCAAAGACATTTGACTGTGTGGATCACAACAATCTATGGCTAACCTTGAGAAGAATGGGGATCCCAGAACACTTGTGTGTACTCATATGAAACCTATACTTGGACCAGGAGGCAGTCGTCGGAACAGAAAAAGGAAACACTGCATGGTTCAAAGGCAGGAAAGGTGTATGTCAGGGATGCATCCTACCTTTTCAATCTATATGCAAAACATATTATACAGGAAGGTGGGCCCTGAGGAGGAATGTGGAATCAAGATTGGAAGAAAACTAATCAACAACTGGCATTATGCAGATGACACAACCTTGCTGGCTGAAACTGAGGAGGACCTGAAGCATTTGCTGCAGAAGGCCAAAGACTGCAGTCTTCAAGATGGATTGAAGCTCAACATCAAGACAACAAAGATTCTCATCCCTGGGCTGATTGACAGCAGCATGACAGAAAAGAGTGTGAGATTGTTAACAATTTCAGCTTGCTTGGTTCCACAATGGACACTCTTGGCATCAGCAGCCAGGAAATCAAAAGATGAACTATTTTGGGAAAATCTATCCCTACCTCTCCAGAGCGCTGAAGAGCAATAATGTCAGTCTAGAGACTAAGGTGTGCCTGATTCAAGCCGTGGTCTTTGCAATTACTTACTATGCATCGGAGAGCTGGACAATGACTCAGGGTGATAGAAGAACTGATGGCTTTGAGTTGTTGTGCTCTAGAAGAGTATTAGACTGCCAAGAGAACAAATAGGTCTGTCCTGGAAAGGGTGAAATCAGGCTGCTCCTTGGAGACAAGGATTTTGAAGCTCTGTGTCACATACTTTGGGCCTATTACCAAGAGGCACTAGTCCTTGGACAAGGACATCATGCTTGGCAGGGTGGAGGGACAGTGCAAGAGAGGCAGAGCTTGGATGCGATGGATTGACTCAGTAACTGTGGTGGTGGGGGTAGATAGGGCAGGGTTCCCAGCTATTGTACATAAGGTCGCGGTGGGCACATAACAAGAGTAGCAGCAGCTTTCTTCAAGCATCCTGCGGGAGAGGGGCCAGGAGGCCCTGGACTCCTCGGTCTGAGGAAGGGGGACCAGCAGAGATGGGGTTAAGTTTTCTGGAGTTAGGAAAGGAAGGGCTAGGGTTAGGACTCTAGTATCTGAGGGAGAGATTGGGGTTCAAGACTCCTGGGTCTGAGGGCAGAGCACCTGGCGTGATCAGGGTCAAGATCTTAGATGTGAGGGAAGAGGGGATAGGGGTCCATCAAGACCGCCTGGTCTGAGGGAGGAGAGGCTGGGAGTTGGGACTCCCCAGTTTGAGGAAGGAGGCGCTGGGGGTCTGGACTCTTGGGTGTGAGAGGGGAAGAATTTGGGGGTTCAGGACTCTGTGGGCCTGACGGAGGAGTATGAGTGCTGGAGTTATGACTCATGGGTCTGGGATAGGAGGGGGTGAGGGGGTGTCCAAGACTCCAGGGTCTGAGGGAAGAGGGGTTGGCTTTTGTCGTGGGGGGGTGTGTGTGTGCATACACACCCATGGGTCGGAGGGAGGAAGGCTGGGAGTCGGGAATCCATGGTCTGAGGGAGGAGGGCTCGTGGCTGAGACTCCCAGGTCTGAAGGTGGAGGGCTGGGGATCAGGACTCCTGGGTCTGAAGGAGGGGTGCTGGGGGTCGAACCTCCCCAGTGTTGGGGAGGAAGAGTTGGAGGAGGGTCAAGCCTGGTGGGTCTGATTGAGGAGGGCTGGAAGTCAGATCTCCGCAGTCTGATGGAAGAGGGCTGGGGGGTTGGATCTCCCCAGTTTTGAGGGAGGAGGGGTTGGAAGTGGGTCAGAACCAATGGGTCTGATGGAGGCGGGCAGAGGGCGGGTCTCCCCAGTTTTGAAGGGTTGGAAGTGGGTCAGAACCAATGGGTCTGATGGAGAAGGGCTGAGGGCGGATCTCTCTAGTTTTGAGGAAGGAGGGGTTGGAAGGGAGTCAGGAACAGTGGGTCTGATGGAGAAGGGCTGGGGGTCGGATCTCCCCAGTCTGATGGGGGAGGGCTGGGGACTGGATTTCCCCAGTTTTGAAGGAGGAGGGGTTGGAAGGGGGTCAGGAACAGTGGGTCTGATGGAGGAAGGCCTGGGGGTTGGATCTCCCCAGTCTGGTGGTGGTGACCAGTCACTGTCCTGGGTCCCTGACCCCTGTTGGACCCCCAGGACCATGGCAGCGGTGGGCTTCGAGGAGTTCTCGGCACCGCCAGGCTCAGAGTTGGCCCTGCCCCCGCTGTTCGGCGGCCACATCCTGGAGAGCGAGCTGGAAACCGAGGTGGAGTTCGTGTCCGGTGGCCTGGGCGGCCCGGGGCTGCGGGAGCGGGACGAGGAGGAGGAGGCAGCCCGGGGCAGGCGGCGGCGCCAGCGGGAACTGAACCGCAGGAAGTACCAGGCCCTGGGCAGGCGCTGCAGGGAGATTGAGCAGGTAGGAGGGGCCCTGAGTGTGGTGACCACCTCCAGCCAGTCTCCGCTGCCCATCTGGTCACCCGCCTTTCCTCAGCTGGTTCTTCTAGAAATCGCCTGAAAACCCAGACTGTGTCTTATACCCCACACTGGTCTCTCTCATGCTCTCCACTGACCTCAGTGCCAAGGAAGCACAGTTTGTCCAGGTGAAGCTGGGATTCGAACCCAGGCAGCCAGGGCTTGTACTCTTAGTCCAATTTTTTTTTTAGATTGATTTTAATGAAAGTTTAAAGAGCCTTTAAGTTTCCAGTTACTCATTGTTGCACTTTTCTCCCTGCCCACCCAATCCCCCCAATTCACTCTTCTCCTTGAAAGAAAAAGAAAAATTCTTTCATTGTTATGCAATCCCTCCCCCCAAGTTCACTCCACTGTGCAGCCTTCACTCTGGACTCCTGTCATGACAAGTATACCCATTCATATGTCCCTTTTAAACAGTTCTCTCCCTCATCTGTTTCAATGCACTATACATCATTCCTCCCCTCCTTCTGTCTTCCCTCAACCCTGATGTCAGTCCCGTTTTACAACAGTGGCCCTATGCAGTATTTGGCCTTTTGTGACTGAGATATTTCACTCAGCATAATGTCCTCCAGGATCACCCATTTTGTATAATATTTCATGAGTTCCTTGTTTTTCAATGCTGCATAGTATTCCATTGTGTGACTATACCAGAGCGTCTCTACCCATTCGTTTCTTGATGGGTGTTGCAGACCGAGGGCAAAGTATTTTTATAATTATTAATAATGAGACACACAACCAAGAATGAGATAGAACAGAGAGAGTAAAGACAGGGGGCCAGCAGTTCCCATGACTGAAGTGCCCAAGCCACGCCTCTCTGAGTATTTATTGAGAATCGTCAGGAAGGTAAACAAAGGAAAATCATAAGGGAGTAGAAAACAAAACCAAAGGATTAGGGGAGCTCTGGTGGCCTAGTGGCAAAGAGCTGCAACTATAATCCCAGAGGTGCACGGTTCGAAGCCACCAGATGCTCTGCCGGGGAAGGAGGGACAATCTCCTCCTGTACCAGTCAGATCTGATTTGATGGTATATGTACATAAAAATAATAAAATTAAAAAAAAACAAAGGATCATGGGGAAGTCTTGCAGATTAACTCGGAGTTCTTCTCTGTTGTTTACCTTATGCTTATCTCAGGAGGAAGGGATTTAGTAATACAAACTAAGAAGGATGTTGACTCTTAGGGAACGCCTTAGTGCCTTAGAGTGAACTCCAGCTTGTATTAGGCCTCCCTCATATCCTGATAAAGCATTTAGTTTATTATTAATATTAAATTTGATATTCGGCTTCCCACACATGGGTCTTAGCCCTGTTTTGTTTTTGTTTTTGTTTTTTTAATTTAGGTTGTTTATTTTTCATTTCAATGAACATCTACAGAGATTTTGGGATTCCATTCATTCATTGTTGCACCCTTCTCCCCGCACAAACCCCTCCCCCCTCAGCCCTGTTTTTTTAAAAAAGCCTTAATTGATTTGGATGAACGTTCTCACAGTAAATTGGGTTTCCGTTCAATAATCATGTACATCTTACTTCATGGTGTTGACTGCAGGACCTGCAGTGTAACAGCACTCCTCCCATCTCCTCCGTGTGACTCTAGTTTCCATTCATCCTCCTTTCCTGTCTCTCACTGCTTTTTTTTTTGTGTTTGTGTGTCTTTTTTTAAATTTTTAATTATTAATTTTAATGAAAATTCTCTCGCTGCTTTCTGAGCTTTATCGGAGGGCAGATGCTGCCTTTTTGAGCTCATTGTTAATCTAAGCAGTGTTGTTGATCACCTTAGAGATGTGTCTTTGTTCGGCTGGAGAATGAGCCTTGGGGCTGAGTTCAGTTCCTGCCTGAAGGGTGACCAATGGCCATGGTCCACCAGTCTCTGTCCAACCCGAGAGGCTGGTCTTTACTATGATTTTCACTTCTGTACCATGTCTCCTCCCTCTCTAAATGGGACCTTCTGACGTGACCTCTTTTGGACTGGTGTGGGTGGGGGGAGCTGGGCACTGTCCAGTTCTTCGGGCCTCAGGACAGTGGAGGTGCAGCTTCTGCGAGCTGCCAGGCACAGGCCCACCATCCTGGTGGAGAGGTCAGGGCTGCCTCCTGCATCTCAGCGACTTAGTCCGAGCTGGGAGGCTCCTAGCATCCAGAGATTCGGCTCAAACGCAGCTTCCTTCTTGCTTCTGAAATGCGTCCCCTCTTAGCGTGCTCTCACCTCCTACCCCAGTTCAGGCCTTGGCTGCACTTTGAGTCTCTGGCCTCAAGCCTCTGCTCTTCCAGAAGACCAGCTTCACAGGGTGTTTCAAGCATCCATAGGTGACCCTGTCCCTTGGATGTGAGAAAACTTCCAGTAAAAACCCCAAATGAAACCCTTTACCCTGTTGTTTTGCAACACTGAGTCAAAACAACCCATAGCTGACCCCCCCAGCTCGTTTTCAAAGGCAGTAAAACCACACAGGAGGAGATGCTCATCCTTCCCCGTGGAGCAGCTGGTGGATTCGAACCATGTGTCTTGTGTCAACAGTGCAGTTTTTTACCACTAAGCCACCAGAGCGCCCTCATTGTCTTCTAGTCGAGTCCAACTCACAGCACCTCTACAGGACAGAGAAGAACTGCCTGGCAGTTCCCAAAGCTGTGGTTCTTATTTTTACTCGAGTGAAAATTTATTTACAAATCCTACTGATTTTTCACACGTTTATTCATAAAGATCTTGCTTTATGACATCATCGATTGTTGTTGCTGTTGTTGTTATGTGCCATTGAGTCGTTTGCGACTCATAGCGACACTATGTAAAACTCTTGGAACCAGCGGCCAGGAAATCAAAAGACGAATCTGATTAGGAAAGCCTGCTGTCAGGGACCTCTCCAGGGTGCTGAAAAGCAAGGAAAAGTCAGTCTAGAGACTGAGGTGTGCCTGATCCAGGTTGATGGGGGGACTTCTTCTCACAGGCTTTGGGGCTGTGGTCAGGAGAGGCCAGACCCCGTGGAAGGACATACTCGCTAGAGGGTCAGTGAAGGAGGGGAAGACTCTACAAGATGGACCGACCAACCCTGGCTGCCACCTGGGTCCGGGTACAGCGGGACGGGGCTGCGCTTTGTTCTCTGTGTGCCGGGTGCTCTGGGCACGCAACCTGGGGGCAATGAAGGGCCGGGCAGGTGAGTGCTTTGCAGCTGACCTGCATCTCTCCCCTCCTCCCAGGTGAACGAGCGCGTCTTGAACAGACTCCATCAGGTGGAGAGGATAACCCGAAGGCTGCAGCAGGAGCGGAGGTAGCCCGTCCTTGCCTACGCCGGGCCTCCCACCAGCGCAGTGCCCCTCGTGTCTCCCCTACATCCCCATCTGCCTGGCCTCGCGGCTCCGTCCCTGGTGAAGGGATTGCTGGCTGCAGCGGGCATGTCCCCTGGGTGGAGAGGACGTGACCAGGAGCACCCCACACAGGGCTTTAAGCCCCTGTCCACTCTGACTCCGAGTCCTGACTCCCAGTGTCCTCTGTCAGTTCAGGGGTGCTAAGGAGTCTCTCCGGCTGTCCTGAGATCCCCCCCTTGGTCCCCCGGCTGCTCCACAACCAAAAGGTGTTAGTTTCCAGCCTCCAACAACCTGCTGCAGGGTCAGTGTTGAGGTGGATTGGCTGACAGCAGCGGGCTCAGCAACAGTGATGATGGGGCTCCCCTTAACCGCTGTCCTTCCTCCTCACGGGACCCCACAGGACAGGGCAGACCGCCCCACGGCTTCACAGGGCTGGACATTTTTTTTCTTTAATTTTATTTCATTATTTTTTGTGTGTACCGTCAAATCAGATCTGACTGGTACAGGAGGAGATTGTTCCTCCTTCTCCAGCAGAGCATCTGGTGGATTCAAA